AAACTGTACTTCTCTTAACCAGAATTCACATTTGGACAACTTAGCATATAGCTTTTCTCTCTTTAACAGGCTTAAGATCAAATGCAGATGCTTTGTATGCTCTGCCTCAGTCTTTGAGTAGATAAGGATGTCATCAATGAAAACTATCACAAATTTGTCAAGGTATTCTCTACACACTCTATTCATGAGATCCATGAAAGCTGCTGGTGCATTGGTTAGTCCAAATGGCATAACCAAGAATTCGTGATGTTCATACCTTGTTCTAAAAGCTGTTTTAGGTGTGTCTTCATTTCTGACTTTCAATTGGTAATAACCAGATCGTAGATCGATTTTTGAGAAGAAGTTTGCCCCAACTAGTTGATCAAACAAATCATCAATTCTAGGCAAGGGATACCTGTTTTTGATTATGACTTTGTTGTGTTCCCTGTAGTCTATACACATCCTCATTGTTCCATTCTTCTTCTTTACAAACAGAACTGGTGTTCCCCATGGTGATGTACTTGGCTTTATGAACCCTTTATCAAGCAAGTCCTTTAGCTGAGACATCAACTCTTTTAATTCAGGCGGGCTAGTCTGTAAGGAGCTTTTGCTATGGGTGCAGCCCCTGGTGTGAGTTCAATTTTGAATTTCACATCCCTGTCTGGTGGAAGACCAGACAGATCATTTGGGAAGACTTCAGGATATTCTTTGACAACAAGAATAGATTCTGGTTCTGCTATTTCTGACTGTATCAATCACATAGGCCAAGAATCCTTGGGACTTCTTTTTTCATACAACTGTGAGCCTGTGATACTGATAGAAGACTAGGATGATGATCCTGGTGATCACCCTTTATTATGACTGTTCCTTTGCCTGGAAGCTCTATTTTCACTCTCTTTTGGTTGCACAAAATGGATGTCTGGTTACTGGCTAACCAGTCCATCCCCACCACTACATTAAATTCCTTCATTGGCATAGGGAACAAACGGATGGGTAGCTTACAACCTTCAATAATGATGGCATAATCTTGGTATACAGAAGCTATAGTTTCTTGACTGTTTGCAGTCTCAACTATCAGCTTTTTATCAAGTAATATTGGGATCATGCAGACACTTTTAGCAAATAAAGGAGATACAAATGAAAATTTTGCACCTGAATCAAAAAGCACCTTAGCACATATTGAGTTGATTGAGAAAGTACTTGTTACCACACCTGGTGCTGCTTCTGCCTCAGTTTCAGTCATTTGGAAGGATCTGCCTTGAGCTTTACCAAATCCTCCCCTATTAACACCAGGCCTTCCTCTGTTGTTTGAAGCATTGTTTCCCAAAGTTAGTTGTGGTGGTTTCAGCTGTGGACACTTGTCTTTAACATGGTCTGGTGAATTACAATGGAAACACCTTCTGATCTGCCTACAGTAGGTTGAGGTGTGCCCAATTTCTCCATAGTTAAAACATTTCAATGGTTCAGGTCTACAGCTACCTTGATGAACCTGTTTGCATCTTGGGCAGGTTCTCTCCATCTGCCTTTGCATTGGTTTCTTGTAGAATTTAGCATCCTTTGATCCTCTGTAGCCAGTTCAGGATCCCTCCCATTTCCTCTTTTCTACAACCTTCCCTTCCTCACTCCTATTCTTATTCCTTTCAGTAACTTCTGCAGCATCAACTGCTGCAGGAAAAGTGGTAAGATTCATAGCAATCACCAATTCTCTTATTGAGGGCTTAAGTCCCCAAATATACCTCTCTACTTTCCTTGCTTCAGTAGCAATATAATGTTCAGAAAACTTGGAGAATTCAATAAACCTTTCTGTGTAGGCTCTGACTGCCCCAAAGCCCTGCTCCAGCTTGAGGAATCTTCCTCCATTTGCCTGATTGTTGTTTTAGGACAGAATTGCTTTTTAAATCTGTTCACAAACTCTATCCAGGATAGGTTCTGCAGCATATCTGATCTGGCCAAAGACTCCACTTCCCACCAGAACACATCATTAGACTTCAACATAGCAACAACAAATCTGACTTTATCAGCCTCTGGACATCTAATAGTGTTGAAGACATATTCAATTTCCTTGATCCATTGTAATGCTTTTATTGGATCCCTTTCTCCAGAAAAAGTTGGGGGTTTGCAGGTGAGAAACATCTTTATATCCCCTTCTCTAACATGAGATGTTGCTGGCACATCAGAAATTTCCTCCACCCTTCCTGTTTCTAATCTGCCAGGCATTCTTAAAATGGAAGTCAAGGTTTCCCTTAGCTTCCTCATCTCTTTAGCCAACATACCCCTGGTCACAACCTCTTCTTCAGGCACAAATTCTGGATTGTTACCTCCAGAAATAGATTTTGCCTGTTCAAAAGGAAACTCTGTCTGGTTGTTGCTTTCTCTGGCTTGACTTCTGCCACTTCCTCTGCCTCTACCTCTGTCCCCTCTTCTACTTCTACCTCTACTTTCTAAGGCATTGATAGGGATCCCTATACGAGAATCCTCTGTTTCACCGGGGTTAGGCTGAGCTAGTCTTTCAGATCTCCTTGAGTGGCTAGTCATCTGCAAGTTCCATAATTAGATAACACATTTTCACATTCCCAAATGTAATAGAGTACTCAAGTTCAAATATGCACCTGTAAATTCAAAATTACATTGGCCAGAAGTAACCCAAAAATACCTTACATATTGAGCCCTTAACTTATTATATTTATTCCAATGGTGCTAACTATATTTGGGACCTTAACATGCAATGAAATAGTTTAAGTCTAGGTATGATCATGCAAGTGAATACCTAAATCCCTTAAACCTAGGCTCTGATACCAACTCTGTAACAACCCCAAATCCATACATTGCATATAACACATATTTCATACATCGAATACATGTTTTAAATCCACATAGGTCCATAATACAAGAGTCTAAAATACGAAATACACAACACAAAAATTCAAAATACAAGTTATTGCAAATGTAATTCCTATGAGTTCCTATCTTCCCGCATGCAAGTAAAAATAGAATCATAGTATGCCTTTCCCCTTATCACTATAGCTGGTATTACCTGTACACACATAATTGAAACACACAAAATAAGGGTTAGACAATAGTCTAGTGAGATCCCCCTTTTTCATGCAGTGCAAGGTGATAAACACCAAAACCTTTATCACAAATTGTGGCATAAAAACAGATTCTGCTTTGGTCCATCGGTCCTCTGGTCAAAAATCAACACTTAGAAAATTTGACGCCAAGAGGTCCAGAGCCCCTCTGGTTCCTCTTCCAGAGCTTCTGGACAATACATGCACGCTCAACCAGAGCTTTTGGAATTGCGCGTAAGACCATCCAGAGCCCCTCCGGACTAGCGCTCAAGGCCATCCAGAGCCCCTCTGGACTATTATAAGGAAGTTTGCCAAGTATAAAGACATTTGAAAACTCTTTTAGATTTATGACCAGAGCAACTGGTTCCTCAATCCCGAACCTTTGGTTCAAAACCAAAATATTTATAAAAGGCTTTAAGTTTAACAAGAGCCTCTGGTTCCTCAATCCAGAGCTTCGAGTCTAAAATCAAGACCAACAAGAGCTCCTCCGGTCTATTTTTCGCAAAAAGAATCCAAGTATAAAAACTCTCAAAATGACTTTTATAAAGGAAGTTTAATACAGAGCTCTTATTTAGAAGATGCAGAGCCTCTGTATGCGGAAGCCTTATTTTAAAAGCAGAGCTCTGTATCTAGCGGATACAGAGCCTTTGCCCAAAAACCCAATTTTAATACAGAGCTATGTATTTAACAAATACAGAGCTTCTGTGCAATAGACCAATTTTTGATACAGAGCTCTGTATCTAACAGATACAGAGCTTCTGATTCTCACAACCGACTATGCAAAAACACTTGCATTGTTTTCAAACACTAACCAGACCCTTCTGGTTCTTTAAAATAAATACCAACCAAAGCCCTCTGGTTCCTTGACAGGTATACCCAGAGCCTTTGTGGTACCTCTGGTTCAACAATATGATCAAAACAGTTTTATCCAAAATCCATGACCAAGGGCCATATTTTTCCCAATCCATAACATCAATACTATCATCTCTATTAAGAACAACATCTCTGAATCCTCAAATCACTAAGAAGTGAGAACACCAATTTGTTGTATCCTAAGAGACATAATAGCAATAGTTATCCCATGTACACACAACGACCATCCTTATTACATCCAGAATCCCCATCATAGCAACAACTATCACAAACCACACACGACCAACCTTATTTCCCCTGAAAATCATATGAAGTATTTCATCCAACTAACAGGCTGCAGTATTCCTATTAGAGTGAAACTGTTCATAGTTTCATCAAAATCTAGTTCCCCCCACAGGTTTATATTTCAAAACCTGATTGAACCATAAGAACACTCATGTTCTTTCCAAATAGCAATTCTGGTTCCCCCCCACAGGTTTATATTTCAAAACCCGATTGAACCATAAGAACACTCTTGTTCATAAATCATGGCTGTTTAAACTYATTTAGATCCTCAAAACAGAACCATAGATCAGTCTGTTTTAAAAAWACACCATCTGCCTTMTGGTTACCCAGAAACAGCAGCWAAAAACAGTAACAACTTAACAGCTGTTTGAAACCAGTTTAACATCTTTCAAATTAAGATCAAAACAGTTTATACCACAAACACATGAGGAGTTTAGTTTCAAAACCACTCACCTTTCCAAAACAGATTCTGCAGCAAACAACAACTTTTAATATGAAACAGGTTCTGTTAAAAACAGCTTCTGTTTTAAGGTCTTTGATCAATCAACTTTTTGCACAAAAATTCCACACTCTTCTTTCCACATAAATTCTTTGAGATGCAAATGGTAAGGGAGGATTCTTACCACATCTCTCTTTAAATAGCCACACATAGGTGGTTTTTAGAAAACAGGCGGTGGAAATTACTTCATAGACAAGCAAACACAAATACTTGGTCAAGAAAGCTTCTTAACAGCAGCATCATACAAGCTGCTTACGAAGGTGCTTGTATGTTGCTTCCAATCATGTGAACATAAATCATTCAACAACATCATACAAGTTGCTTACCAAGGTGCTTGTATGCTGCTTCCAATTATGTGGACAGAAATCATTCACACCACATACACATATAATCCATTTAATTTAGCATGCATAATCACATACTTCCAATTAATTCATGCTTATTAACACATAAACACATAATGTACCTTAACCCAATATGTCTGAAAGCCTGGTTATCACAATGAGATTGGTTTATATGGTTTACACAAATGAGGGTGGTTTTCATTTCATTTGATACAACCTATCGCATTTATACAACCAATGCAACCCAATAAATTGAAATATTTATGGAAACGATTAGAGTTCATTTACTATGATTTAAATATTTATGGAAGATGAATACGGTTCATTAATTATGATTACTACTTTATATTAGGAAAATAATTAAAACTTCTATAAAATCACATTTTAATCAAATGAAATGGACGGTTGAGATTGAGTTGTATTGGTTGCACAAATGACAAGGGTTGTATAATAACCAACATCTCTCTCTCTCTATATATATATATATATATATATATATATATATATATATATGGGCTGGTTCAAATGTTAACCAAGATTATCGTGTTAACTTTGTTAACCGATCTTGACCGTTATTTTGAATAATAAACGGTTGTGATTTAATAATATTTAAAAATTAATTATTAAATTAATATTTTCAATTAATATATGTGAACAAAATATCAAAGGGTATTTAGGTAAAAAGTAATCTATCTTTGATACACGAGTTGTCAGACATATGAACAACTTGTATATATCTTCAAACCACATCAAACAAAAAAGATTAGACATATGAA